TAATCAAATTAGTTATATAGATATTATATTAAGGAACAATACGAGTAGTAATTTAAAAAAAGAAAAAAAACAGTTGAGAGAAGGGGGGTGGTTAGCTAGCTAGTGCCCTGCCTTGTAAATTAGACATTTTTTTATCAATAGGGATGGATCTTGAAATACTACTTCTGTTCCTAACTATAAGACCTTATTTATAGTCTATAAACAAGGTCTTATAATTAGAATCGAAGGTTTTTTTTTTTCTGGAGCGGGGGCAAAATTTTGTTCATTAACCGCTGGAGGAAGGTTAATGAGAATAACAAAAGGCCAATGCAATTAAAAACCTACCAATTTGCCTTCACATGCAAGATTTTGCTAAAAATCTTTTTATCAAAATCCAGCGTTATTTTTATTGAAAATAGTTAAAAGTCCTTGGAACTAGATATTGGAGTTTCTTATGTGTTTTAACTAAGTCAGTTATATTTTATTTGGTCATTAACCATATTTAATTACCTTAAATAAACTATCTTTAATCTAATTTATAGAAGCCCAACGTTCACATGTATTTTTGCCACTAAAAGCCTACTCATATTGTATGAATTAGTGCCCTGAGGTTTTTGGAGTTTTCAAGCTCTTCTCGTTCTCCCATGGGTTTTCCTTCTTTTATGGATCTGCTATTTTGTTTTTCTGTTTCTCTCATGCTACGTTCTTATCGTACGTGGTAAAATAACTCTCAAAGGTAGTATTTTCAAGCATGGTTATTTGAATCACATTATCAACTAATGCTTACAATATAGACAAATTACTAAAACAGAGAGAAGGAATTACAATATTTGGATGCCTCTGTATATGAAAATTGACTGTTAGTTTAGATTTGTTGGTCAAGATTGGAATAGTTAGTTGAGTGCCAATATAATCACCAACAACAATACGTTTTGATAAATAGAACAGACAGTCAGTGCTTGTTTAGAATGACGATGTAGTAGTAGTTAAAAAAATTTTTAATCGTTATTTATAATGTATAAGATAAATATGTGAAATGAAGTTAATCTTAATTTATATGAACATATTATGATAAACAGCTCTAAGCAAATACATGAAAATGTTAGATCCAAGTTTTGTATTAGGCAGTTAACACATAGAGAGTAGTTTAGTACGGATGAGAACAAATAATTAACGACCAATATACATGAAAATGTTCACGTGAATGTTAGGATATCTGAAAAAATAAGTAATATACATTCTCCCTCTTGTCTTTATTAAAAAATCTCATAACTTTTTTTTTTCATAATAATTTTTTTAATATCTTTTATTTTGATGCTTTCTTTTATATATATATATATATATATTATATGCATGTATTTTCAATACTTAGAGAACATTTACTGGAATGATATATATATATGTATATATCACTTATCAATAAAACTCTCACAACAATAGCAGGAGTTAAACTTATGATCTTATACGTCAACTTTTTACTAAGTGGATTAATCTTTTATTGGCTTATTTTGATATACAAATTCTAACTAAGTAAACAATCTTAATAACATAGCAAGCAAAAGAGAACAACATCAATTAAGGCAAAAAACTTCCTACTTTGTACAGGAAGGGTCATTTAAGATTGTAGCAGCCCAGTTCTCACGAGTTTGAAGTCAGTCCGTACAGTTATTTGTTCATCTTGCAGGCAAGTCTTCGTCAATTCACACGAGACTTTAACTTGGGAGCACTTTCCATTCCAGCAAAGAATACGTAAACTTGATCATCAATGAACAAAGAAAATCAGGTATTGTTGTTAATTTGTTACTTGTCGAATTAATACTTTTTATAAGTTAATTTTTCGGTAAGCTAAAGTAATTCAATTATTAGTTGGATTAATTGTTATTGAATGTATATATCTCTAATTGATACACTTTTTTTTTTAAAAAAAATTACATCTTGTTGATTATGGGGTTTACATGGAATTGAACCAGAGTTCAATCTATTGGTAAAAAAAAAAAAAATCCACCAATTCAATTCAGTTTTTCGTGAAATTGTTCTTTGTTTCAATCCTTTGTTTTCAGGGGGAAAAAAAGTTGTTATAACTAAAGATGAAAAGATAATGATAAATATTATTTTGCGCCAATAATATGCTACGTTCAGAGATTTTGAATTTTTTAAAAAAATCTAGGAATAAAAGTTTTAACTGATAGTCAAACATTTTATATTAAAAAAAAAAGCAGAGACATAACAGTGGCATATTATTTACCTGTGATATGTAATAATGATTTTTATATTCATAATTATATTAATATCAATACTAATATCAGTTAACCAATATTGTAAAAAAAATCTACAAAAATGATAAAATTTATATATAGCTGCAATGGTTAGATTTTGCTATCATGATATCAGCAATCAATTATATAAAATTTATGGTAAGTTTAACTATTTAAAGATCATAATTATTAATAATATAATTTATTTTTGCAATTTTATGTAACTCCACTTGCCCACAGAAATTAATATAGATATCAAATATAAAATTTATAATACTATTCATAAGTTGTGGATTGTGCATATCTTTAACCTCTAGATTATTGGGCATCACATTCTCTAGATGTTGTATAATACACATAGGAAAACATATATAGAAAAATATAATTGCAAACCACAATATTATCAGTAAATGAATAGTACACCCCATTATTTGAAGTTCATGCAATGCATAAGAATCTAATTACTACCTCCGGTCCTAATTACAAGATCCAATTGACTAATTTGAGGAGATTAAAGAAAGAAGTTAAATTAGTTATTTGTAATAAATAGGTGTTGTATTTCCTAAAATATCCTTACCAATCAAGTGTATTGACTTGAACTATTATTGTTAGAAGGGCTATTTTGAAAAAAAAAGTATAAATATGAGAGACAAAGTGGATTGGGTCTTATATTTAGGACCGGAGGTAGTAATTATTATTGAAGGAAAGACAACACCTATTTAAGACAAATAACTAACTCAACTTACTTCTTTAATCTTCTCAAATTAGTCAACTGGCTTTTATAATTAGGACCGGAGGTAGTATTATTTAATATTTTTTTAGTCTTTTCTCATTAAGTTACTTCCTATATTTTTATTTATAAGCCATATCTAACAAATTCACGCAGATTATTAACCAAATGAATTAAATTTTGTTAATTCTATTTAAACTTTTTTTTTGGCCAGGGAATTCTATTTAAACTGTCACATCTTTCTAAAAGACTCTTAATTAGATTCAGTGAATTCAAATTCAGTCCTCATCTTCTCATTCCCTTTCTTTACCATAAGTACTCAATAACAACATACATGTCAAGTGTACTAATTGAAAAAAAAAATATTAAGTGCTTCATAGAATTTTCAAAGTGAATTATTTAGGGACACGAAAAGTTTACAAGTGATGATTTATGAAGGGTTTGGTTATGAATTGGGTTTAGCTTACTTGACCTTGGGCAGATCTGATTGGGCCTTTTTGTTCCTTAATTTGTCCATCTCTAGTTTAATTTATGGATCCAGTCTAGCTTAAGGATACTTTTTTCTGATAACAAGCCTATGGATACATTAGTTTATGGATCCTGCTGATTTTGCCTGCTCTCTGTGTTCACCGAAGGCAGGAAAGGAAAAAAATATTCCCATTCCCAGTAGGATGGAAGATGTCTATATTTAGTAGATGATAATATCTTCAATAATATTACCTTTAACAGGAGAATATCTGGTACCTAAAAAAAATCAATTACAAATAACAATAGCAACCAATAGGACTATGTCTAGTGAAAATGTTCTGCGACTACGGTCCCCGGGGGGGGGGGACCAAATATAGCCAACGGGATTGTGTATTCAGATTTTTCTAGCCGCTCCAAATTCAGATTTTCCTTTTTTTTGCTAGCTCCAAATTCAGATTCTTGTAATACCCTTTTCATGGGGGGTTTGTCTTTTGTGAATACATGGGCTATAGTTATTAGGGGAAATGATTCTTAAGTCCCTTCAAAAACTTAAATACATATTTTACTTAACAAATGACAAGAACAATCGTTCTAGTAATTTATATGCAGGTTCTTATCTGAACTTCTTAGTGGTTAAGTTGTTCTTGTCAGTTGTTTGTTAAATAAAAGTTATTACTGGTTAGTGTTTGGAATACTCTAGAAATATTTGAAAAAAGTGTTTTTATGTAAACTGAAATAATTTTTTTTTTCATATATTTACCACAAACGTTATAAAATTATTTCGGAAAAGCTAATCCAAATTCTAAACTTCTAGACATTCATATGTAAGGTGCTCACACAAATTATTACCATTTATCAAGTGAAAAATTGTTATTTGTTTAGTCCCTATTTGAGTTATTCTTGTCATTTGTTAAGTGAAAGTTATTCTTAGCTTAATTATGCTAGTCATTTTATATATCTCAGAAAACTTAATAATTATCTTAAATAATGCTTTGAAGTAAAATATTTCTTTGTTTCTAAGTATAATGAATAATTTTTTAATCTTTGTTGCTGAGTATAGTACGTGGTTTAGTATTTCATGATTTTTTTTTTCAAAATACTATTTTTAAATTTAATGATTAATGCCCATTGTTGATAAATGATCTTTTGAAAAATACTCCTATTTAAAGAAGGATAAGGACAGATTCAGAAAGAACAAAAGAAAAAATTAAGACAAACTCAAATTCCTTAGTTATAAACTTGTATTTCGTAAATTGTTTTCAGTAAGTATTAATAAATGGGAAGCCCGTGCGTCGTGTTGGAAGTAGGAAGAAGATGATTTATATTTGTCCAAGTAGATACATAATCTAAACTTCAAAGTAATGTATTAGATTTAACCTAATATATTGATTCGATGGTAATCTTTTCTTTTTTTTAAACAAGGCAAGAAAACTTGATTAAATGTTCGTGGCCGATGAGACAGCTAAAGCCATGTCATCGTGCATTCGGTCTATACAATCCAGAGGGGGCCTATGCTAGTAAATCGTTTCTTCCTGTATGTCCTGTGCCTTTTTGGCCAAGAAGTCTGCTCATTGGATAACCTTCCTCGGTGCATGGTTGATGCTAACGTCCCAATCTGAGTAAATTAGCTCTCGGATTTCTGTTAATTCGGTCTGGAGAAAGTGGCTTGCTCCTCCTTCGGTTTCTATTAGTCTGAGAACTTCAATAGAATCCGTGAAGACCTCAATCTTACTAAAACCTTGCTGTTTGCACATTTGCAAACCTGTTAGTAAGGCCATTAGCTCAGCTGCTGTCGGTGGTAGGACTCCTAATCGTCTTTGAAATCCAATACGCCATCTTCCTGCAGCATCCCTTACCAGACCTCCACACGCTGCCTGTCGATGTTGATTCACGGATCCATCTACATCAAGTCTCATGACTCCTTCCAAAGGGGGGCGCCACTTCTCTTCCCTTGACGCTACAGCACCAAATATCATGTGTTGCAACCTTCCTCTTTCCGTAGACTCCATGAGTTGGTAGAGTAGCGTGTGTCTAATTTCCTTAGCCGAAAACCGTTGTCCCTCAAGCACACCTCTGCATTTGTTCTTTCAAATGAGCCAGCATGTTGTGATAAAGACCTTTGGCTAGCTCCATTTTGCAAAGTATGCGTTTCCTGCTCCTGTTGATAAATTTTGCTTCATCTAAACCTGCAAGTTAGATTGAAAAAAACTAAAAAGAAGATTGGGATGCACAACGTTTATCCAGATTTCTCTAGCAATCTCACAGTCTCTCAAAATGTGTAGAGTGTTTTCCTCACCCAAGCACTCAAACGGGCACTCCTCACTTGTTTGGACTCCTCTCTTTTTTCTAAGTGCGTTGGTAGGTAGTCTCTCTTGAATAGCTTGCCAAAGGAAATATTTCATTTTTTCTGGAATCGGAAGTTTCCAGATGACCTTCCACTGAGCTCTATTATTAGTGCGGAGATGTCTGAAGGTTTTATTATACGCGGCTTTGACACTGAAATTCCCATATGAAGTTGCTCGCCACCAGAATTCATCTTCCCCACTGCTACTCGGTGTTTTCATCTGCTCAAGTATTGCAATTACTTCATCCGGGAAGAAATCCCTCCATCTGTGAACATCCCAACAGCCATTAGGGAGAATGAAGTGGCTCACCTTCTCACTAGGAACAATTCTCGTAACATTTCTTTCTACTAGATGAATTAGTGGTATTTCCAAAGGTGTCCATAGGTCCCACCAGAAGTGGGTTTGGTTGCCACTTTTAATTCTTTGGCCTACACCTTGATAAAAATGGTCCCAAACCTTTGTAATGCTATTCCAGACAGCAGAAGCATTTGTTTTTTGTAAACCACAGGATACATTCCATCACCACATTTGTATTTACTTCTTAGGCATTGGACCCACAGTGCTTCGGGTTTGGTAAGGATCCCCCAACACAGTTTCATGATGAAAGCAATATTTTGACTTTGAAGATCTTTCATTCCCAACCCACCATTTGCCTTCTCCTGTTTGATTAAATCCCAAGCAATTAAGTGCATCTTTTTCCCTGTTGGATTCTGGTTCCACAAGAAATTCCTGCTTACTTTCTCTATTTCTTTCAGAATTCCTTTGGGGATAAGCATTGTTTGCATGTAATAACTCGGGAAGGCTGAGATCACTAATTTAATCAGGGTTGACCGACCTGCCATAGTGAGAAAAGAGCTCTTCCAAGATGCCAGTCGACCTTGGACACGCTGGATGACCGGAAAGAACATGGCCTTTGTCACTCTCTTATGAAGTAAAGGAACTCCGACGTATGTCCCTAGGTCAGCAGCGATACCAATTCCTAGGCTTTGGCTGAGTTCCCTAGCTCTGTTGAAGCACACATTCCTTGAAAAGTAGGCCTTGGATTTGCTAAGGCTGATTTTATGTCCCGACGCATTGCAGAAGTTTCTCATAGTGTTACTCATCACTTCGGCTTGCTCAGAGGAAGCTTCACCAAACAGTAATAAATCATCAGCGAAAAAGAGGTGGGAGAGGATTGGTCTTGTAGCGCTAAGTTTCAGCCCTTTCCATCTTCCATCCCTAACAGCTTTACTTATAATTTGGCTTAATCTCTCCATGCATAACACAAAGAGGTAAGGACTAAGTGGGTCTCCTTGCCGAACACCTCTTGAAGGACAGAAAGCGTGTGAGCATTCCCCATTCCAAAGTACTTGCATAGTTGTCGAAGAAACACAGGCCATAATCAAGTTCAGCATCTGCTCCCTTATGCCAATACTTCTAAGTGTATCCCTGAGGAATTTCCAATCTAATCGGTCATAGGTTTTTTCCATATCAACCTTTGCTGCCACGAAGCCTTTTTTCCCTTTCTTGGTGCGCATGGTGTGTATTGCCTCCTGTGCAATAATAACATTATCGCTGCTATGTCTCCCGGCAATGAAACTGCATTGTTGAGGGAGAACCAAGTATTGCATAGCCTTTCTCATTCGGCTCGCAATAATCTTTGTGATAACCTTGAAGATTACATTGCAAAGTGAGATTGGCCGAAAGTCTTTGAGGTTGGTAGGGTGATCAATTTTAGGGATCAGAGCTATGTTTGTTTGGTTAACCTCCTTGATTTTGCTCGGGTTCGACCACACTTCTTTGATAAAAGAGCAAATCGCACTCCCAATATGTTGCCATTGTGACTGGAAAAAAGGGGCTTGAAAACCATCCGGTCCAGGCGCCTTAAAGGCCCCCATAACAAAAGCAGCATTTTTAATTTCCAATTCTGTCACTTCATTATGAATGCTTAGATCGTCACTAGTAGTGAGTTGTGGGAATTCTGTTTCCCAACTATAACTTCCTATAACAGAATTGTCCTTAGTGTAAAGTTGCCCAAAGAATTGCCCAGCCATCTGTTTCAGCTCTTCTTGATCAGAGATCCAGTTCCCATGGTCATCTTGAATGGTTTCCACCATTTGCCTTCGTCTTCTGATTTTAGTGGAAGTGTGAAAGAATCTTGTGTTCTTATCTCCCCATTGCAACCACTGGCATTTAGATTTCTGGTACCATATAAGCCCTTCTTGGGTTACAAGCTTGTTATAGTCACGCCATAGCTGTTTCTCGAGTTTGAAGAGGCCTGATGAAACTTTATCTCGCCTTGCTCTATCAATGCCTTCCAATCTCTTCATTACTTCCTGTTTCTTTCTAGGAATACTGCCCAAATTCTCCTTATTCCACTTCATGGCTTTATCTACAAAGGTGCTGGCCCCCACACTCCATTTGTTTCCTTCCCAAGACTCCTGTACCATAGACTGAAAGCTTTCCTCCAATGCCCACGCTGCATTATATTTAAATCTTTGTTTGGTTCTGTGTGGGGTACCTTGATCTTGAGTTGTTTTAACCATAATGACTCTGTGATCTGACTTGAATTTCAGTTGATGGCAGCATCTACTATGCGGGAATTCAGACTCCCATATCAAATTGCCAAAAGCCCAGTCAAGTCTCTCCTTCACATTTCTTTTTTCCCACGTGAAACGTTCACCCAGGACTGGAATTTCAAGGAGACCTGCCGAGTTGACACATTCTGCAAAGCTTTGCATTGCACAGATTTTTGGTGGAGATCCGCCCAATTTGTCAGAGGGTGTCAAAAAAGTGTTAAAATCTCCAATCACCAGCCAAGCTCTCGAAACTGATTCTGCCATTTCTTTGATGGCATCCCAAAGAGGACCTCTTCTAATGCGAGACGGTTCTCCGTACATAAAGGTAGTTAGAAAATTCTCCCCGGTATCTCTATTTAGGATCTGGCAATGTAAAAATTGAGTCGTAGAACAGAGGTAATCAATTGTACATTTGTCGTCATCCCAGAGTACCCAAATACCACCAGTGAAGCCCGTCGCCTCCAGCCTAATCCAATTATTAAAACCAAATCTACGGACAGTCTTATCCGCTCGCTCCCCACTAATTCTTGTTTCCGAAAGACATAGCACATCAACTTTGTACATTTTGACAATATGTTTGATGGTGGCAGAGAAGTTTCTACTCCCTACCCCCTATAGTTCCAAGAGGCGACTATCATTTTAAACAAAGGATAGTTAAGAGACAGGAGTGCTTACTAGTCAATTGGGTCCCCATCCATCCATGTGGGGTTGAGAGAATCCTGTACAGATTGTGTTCCATTTCGCTTTGCCACCACGAGGGGTCCTGGTGTCATCGTTCCTGCTGCTATGTGTCCCAGTGCTAGATCACGAACATCTGATGGATTTCGGTCTTCGGGTGATTTTGTGATCAACTGGGTGTTCTGCAAGTTCTCCGGTGCCCCCAACTGTGTAGTTGCTTTTGGAGTTGTGACTGGTGTGGACTTGATCACATGGGAGCCCACTTCGTTCAAGTGCCCACTAACAACAATGTGAGTTCGCTGGTGTGATTTATCCTGGGCTGGTTGTCTATTAGGAGGCAGAGGCCTTCCTAATTCAATTCCTTTCTCCACGATCTCGGCATTAGTGTGGGCCTTACCCAAAATCACCGGCCCACTTGTCCTAGGCATTATGTTCTCTTTTCCTTTAAGTGTCACATTTGGCACTCCCTTTTGCACTTCCCTCTTGCTTCCTCCTCTCTTCGTAGACCCTACTGCTACTTTTTGTCCTACTCCAAATTTCCTTTCACCATGTAGGGGTCGTCCTTGTTCATTTGAATTCGAGGCGTCCGAGCTGGTTTTACCATAGCTGACATAGTCCTCTGACATCATCTCTCCTTCTTCCAGAGTTGTTAAAATTTCGAAGCTCGACTGCACCCCGCCGCTCCTACTCTGCTTGAGTTGCTTGTGTCCTCTTTCTTGGTTAGGCCTGCCACCCTTTGTTTCTTCTTTCCTTGGATTACAAGCTCGGTTGCCTTTCACAATCATCCACGCGCCAAACTCTTTTTCCACAATGGGGTTTCTTTTTTCCGATGCCGGTGTCGATGAAGATGTTGACCCCATGCTGTCGCGTGTTGGTTCTGCATATGTCCAGGAATAGTTTTCCTTTTTATGTTCGTAGCGGCCACAAGTAAAGCATATTTGGTTCAAACCTTCGTATTCAACATGGAAGAGTCTGTTGGCAGCCATTACTCTCGGTACTAGTCTTTTTTGGAGGTCTAGTTCAACACATATCCTCGCATAACGTCCTCTTTCCACTCTAGAATCCTCTTCCGATAGTGGTGTTAGTGTGTTCATGTCAACCCGTAATGTTTTGCCTATTCGGTCACCAAGCCTAGATATGAACATCCTGTTATAGCACTGTAGAGGGATGTGTGGGATACGAACGCAGGTGACAATTCTTCCAAGCGGATTGCAGAACGGGTCGAACTCCGGTTGCCAGCGTTGCACTAGGACACAATGTTGTTTCACCACCCATGGTCCTTCGTACATGATTTTTTTGTATGTTTCCGTCCAGCCTTCCTTTCTGTGGAGCTTAACAACAAAGTAGTTGTTGGGAATATCTATGAGATCAAAATCCTGCGTGCCCCACATTCTCATCAGACAACTTTTCAGGGTATAAACATTGTATTTCCTTCCTAGCATTGTAATAATGAGCGAAGAGTTCCAAGGTCGACACCATTCACTATATTCCTCTGGTGAGATCGGAACAACTGGAACTTGGTTCATGAGTGATTTCAGTTCATCTGAGAATTCTGGTAATTCCCATTCTTTATTCATAACATCAGATAACAGTTCGTCTTCTTCCATACAATTTCCTTGGTTGGCTATTCCATTAAACCCCAACAACGAATCCCTGTATGAGACTTGGGGTCTTTTTGTTATGTTTTCATCATTCTCTGTCCCCGCGTCATGCTCCATTTCTTCTTCCTTTCCGTCAGCTACCTCCTCTACCTGTGAGTCTTGCATCAGTGCATCAGGTATTGGGGGCAGCGAGAGCACTTGCTTCTTCTTCTTCTTACTCCCACTAGCGAGAGCATCAGAGGGTCGGTCCGGAGGAGTTTTCCGGTGAGAGATGTCTTCCATTTTCCACGGCACGAAATTCAAGAGAGAGCACTTTAGAACGCACTATTTATTAATTTTATCCCTTCAAAGCCTTCGATTTCTGAATTCAATGGTAATATGAATATCTAGAATTGTCTACTTTTTCCTAAACTAAATACCCCCTCCTTATTATAATTCTACTTAACGATATTACGTGATTTAAAAAAACTTAAATAATAAAAATAAAAAATATATTTTTTCCTATGTCTTTATTTACAATCAAGTAGGTGTGAGTGAAAAAAAGAAAAGAAAAAATGTATTAAAAAAAAAGATAATGAGAGTATATTAATTAAGAGTAAAGTAGGTAAAAATATATTTATTGATTATACAAACTCAAAAAATATCTTATAAATAAGAGCAAATCAATTTAAAAAATTAAATCTTATAATAAAAAACGGAAGGGTATGACCTGCAAATTTCAATATATGCTTACATATGAGCGACCCGTAAACACAAAAGTTTAAATCAATTTAAATTAATATATATATTTCATTTGGTCTTATATATAAGTTTTATTTTTAGAGATGGATCTCATCCAAAATATTAGTTTTATTTTTAAATTTGTATGAGTATTTATTATTATTATTTATTTTATTCTTAGTTAACTGCATTTACTACTCTTTCTCTCGTTAATATTACTCTAATATATTCTATTTCATCAATTTTTATTTACTGTCTCTCATTTACTCTCTAAATAAATAAAGGTAAATTTTGAAAAATTCATTTCTAATCTATTATTATTTTAAACTGATTTTAGCTACTAATTCATTAAGCGGGATTCGGTTATTTAAAACTTATATATAGGAGCAGAAGGATAATACTATTTCTAATCCTAATATATACTATAAATCATTTCTTATATTTATGACTGGACATAGTGTCCAATTAATAATATCTAAAATATAATAATTCAATGATTTATTAACATAATCATGTAAAACATACGCTAACCATTCTGATGTGTGATGGTTAAAGATTTTTAGGATGAAATGACCCCATTAATAATCACTAAAACTAATTCTAAATTAAAATAATTCTCAAGGAAACAAGTTCGACTATTGTTGAACTGGAGGCGTTTGGTGAAGTGGATGGCTTGCGAATCAGAACATGCAACCTCTTTATGATGCGAAGCCTCCATCATCACCTAGGATTTCGCTTGAAACTTCTTTACAATATTAACATCAACGAAAATTTCAACTTTTTCTCCACTTTGTCACAAGCTCTTCTTCCGCCAGAGGAACCATACCTTCCAATTCGTAACCAACGAAGAATCAGACGTGAATTGGCCAACTTGTTACAATCCTCTGATTCGGTAGTTCCTGTGTCGCATTACAAGAAAATTCATGCCCACATTGTGCTGCTGGGATTTCACCAAGATGTCTTCCTCACAAATATTCTCTTGCATAAATACTCTAAAGGGGATCTTCTCAGCGATGCACAGAATCTGTTTGATACAATGCCTGAGAGAAACCTGATCACTTGGTCTTCTATGGTTTCCATGTACACCCAACATAACTATAATGAAGAAGCATTGACATTGTTCTGCCGATTTAGAAGAAGCGGCGACCAGAAACCTAATGAATACATTTTAGCCAGTGTCATTCGAGCTTGCACACAATTGTGTAGTATCAGTCAAGCTCTTCAAATACATAGTTTTGTTGTTAAAGGTGGCTTCCTTCATGATCTTTATGTTGGTACCTCTTTGATTGATTTTTACACTAAACATGGCGATATTGATGAAGCAACGCTGGTGTTTTGCGGTCTAGCGTCAAAAAGTTCAGTCACCTGGACTACAATTATAGCGGGGTATATCAAACATGGAAGGAGTGACGTTTCCTTAAGTTTATTCAACCAAATGAGGGAAACTGATGTATCACCGGACAGATATATACTTTCTAGTGTTTTGAGTGCTTGTTCAATGCTTGAGTTTCTCAAAGGTGGTAAGCAAATTCATGCTTATGTGCTGAGGAGGGGAATTAACATTGATGTCTCAGTAGTAAATGGACTTGTAGATTTTTACTTGAAGTGTCATAAAGTGAAAACTGGTAGGAAATTATTTGATCAGATGGTAGAGAAAAATCTTGTTTCATGGACCACAATGATTGCAGGTTACATGCAGAATTCATTGGATTGGGAAGCCATGAAGCTTTTCCTTGAGATGGCAAACATCGGCTGGAAGCCAGATGCATTTGCTTGCACAAGCATTCTCACTTCATGCGGTTCACTACAGGCTCTAGAAATGGGAAGGCAAGTGCATGCTTATACTACCAAAGCAAATCTTGAAAATGATAATTTTGTGAAAAATGGTTTGGTTGACATGTATGCAAAATGTAATTCTTTAACTGAGGCAAGAAAAGTCTTCGACCTTGTGGCTGGTTCTAATGTTGTCTCCTTTAATGCAATGATAGAAGGGTATTGTAAACAAGAGAAGCTGCATGAAGCATTAGATCTTTTCCATGAAATGAGGCTAAGTTCATCGCCACCAACTCTCTTGACATTTGTAAGCCTTCTTGGGTTATGCGCTTCCTTATTTCACCTAAAGCTGAGCAACCAAATCCACGGCATCACTATCAAATGTGGGTTCTCTTTAGACATTTTTGCTGGAAGCGCTCTGATAGATGTTTATTCAAAATGCTCATTTGTTAGGGATGCCAAACTTGTTTTCGAGGAGACGCAAGAGAAGGATATTGTAGTATGGAATGCAATGTTTTCTGGATATACCCAAAACATGGAAAGTGAGGAGGCTCTCAAACTCTTCAAAGATTTACAGATGTCAAAAATAAGGCCCAATGAATTCACTTTCGCGGCCGTAATTGCAGCAACGAGTAACTTAGTAAGTCTGCATCATGGCCAGCAGATTCATGGCCAAGTCATAAAGACAGGTCTTGACACTGATCCCTTTGTCTCAAATGCTCTGGTCGATGTGTATGCCAAGTGTGGAAACATCCAAGAGGCTCACCGAGCTTTTAATTCCACAACTATGAGAGACATTGCATGCTGGAATTCAATGATTTCTACTTATGCACAACACGGAGAAGCAAAAGATGCTCTTCAGTTGTTTGAATGCATGATTAAGGAGGGAACCGAACCGAATTATGTCACATTTGTCGGCGTGCTCTCAGCATGTAGCCATGCAGGACTAGTTGACCTCGGGTTTCATCACTTTAAGTCAATGGCAGCTAAATATGGAATTGAACCAGGAATGGAACATTATGCGTGTATGGTTTCCCTCTTGGGCCGAGCTGGGAGAGTATATGAAGCTAGGGAATTCATTAATTCAATGCCAATAAAACCAGCAGCAGTTGTGTGGAGGAGTCTGCTCAGTGCGTGCAGGTTCACTGGTCATGTTGAACTGGGAACATATGCAGCTGAAATGGCGATTGCAAGTGATCCAGCAGATAGTGGATCATATATCATGCTTTCTAACATATTTGCATCTAAAGGTATGTGGTTAGATGTGAGGAGGGTGAGGGAACAAATGGATGAAAGTGGAGTGATGAAAGAACCAGGTTGTAGTTGGGTTGAAGTGAATAATGAGACCCATATGTTTATTGCCAGAGACACATCTCATCGTGACACTCCACTAGTAGCTTCAGTTTTAGACAACTTAGTTATGCAGATGAAAGAGCTTGGATTTGAGGCTGATAGTGTCACGCTTCTACTAAATGATTGAGACCAAATCATATTGTGATGAAGTGATGATCTGGCAAATTAGCCTCACTTCACAAGTTGATCCTTTCTGCACAACAATTCACTTAGGATTGTTTGGAAACGTATTTAAAAAAGTGTCTCCGTAGAAGTTGAAACAAAATTCTTCTTACATATTTATCTCGAACTTTATAAAATCATATTTAAAAAGCTATTCCTGTGAGTCTAAAGTTAGACCATTAGAGACTTTTCCTTGGGATATAACTGGCGCTAACAATTAATGGACTCTGATATCTATTACTCCTCTGGTCCTTAATATAGGACTATGAGTTAGCCTAAATATAGACCCATTATCATATTAAATTTTCTCAAATTACCCCTGGATACTCCCATAATCTGGGCTATAATAAATAGAAGAAGATGGGTATTAAGAAGGATTTATTAAGAAAATGTTCACTTTTCTATAACTAACTAACTTACCTAATTCCTATTTAATCAAATTTTAAATAGGTCTTCATTAAAGACGGAAGTATTATCTTATTAATCTTTTTCCATATAAACTCTGCTTCCTGGGTTACAAAGAGTATAACGATGTTAATTTTTCATCTATAGCAAGTTTTTTCGATTGCTATGCTTCTCTCTGAATAGTTTGAGTATCTTCGGAAAAATGATGATGAGAAATAGTCCTATTATATATCCGCTCTTGAAAAATATTAAAATAATAAAAAGTTATAAGTTTTTTTTTCTTGCCTGGATAAAAAAGTTAAACCAAGGTTCTTTGAAATATGCTATGTCGTTGCCCACGGAGTCCCGCCATTAATTGTGGTAAATTGGCTGGTTGATTTTTAGTGTAAAAATAATAAGAAAGATTGTTGCCCTAAAATTTTTGTCAGGAAAATAGCAAAAAAGACCCTTAAAATTATAAAATTACAAAATGGGTTGATTAACAAAATTGCTATCTCTGATGTTAAATATGAATTATGAAATATTGAGGGGAAAAAAAAACCAGAATGTCCTCTTTCTTCTCTTTTTTTGTCACCCTCATCGTTTTCAATTTCCTTCTTCTCTCCCTCTCCTTCTCTCGGTCCCTCGTCTATCATCATGGCTGGCCCATCATCACCTCCTGATAAGAAACCTCCCTACACCACCTATGGATTCTCTCATTTTCGCCGATGATACCTTGTTTTCTGAAGCATTTCCATACATACTATCTCCGGTCTTAATTATAAGAGCCAGTTGACTAATTTGAGAAGATTAAGGAAGTAAGTTGAGTTAGTTATTTGTCGATGTTATCTTTCTTAAAATATCCTTACTAATCAAGTGTATTAATTAGAATTATAATTATTAGAAGAACTATCTTGAAAAAAATTGAGTAAATATGAGAGATAAAATAGATTGATGTCTTATATTTAGAACCAAAATAAAAGTCAAATAGAGTCTTATATTAAGGATTGAAGGTAGTATTAGATAAAAGGGGAACTTAATTTTTAAAAGAGCTGTTGGGAAGTAAGAGAAAATACCTTACATGGAATATGCAAATATTTTATCTAAACTAGCCATAGACATTATTAAACATTAATTATATGGAGCAAGTATAACACGGCTGTAGATGACCGATTTTCACACTTTCGCAACATGGAGCAATACTGTCGCAAAATCCCAGATGAGCGATTGATAAATTACACCTGACAATATTTGATTGAAACACGTGCAATAGGAAATTACACTAATGAAGAGCTGTAAAAATTACACATGACAAGATTTGATTGGAAAATTATAATAAAGAACGTATGGAATATCATTTAGAAAAATTGCAATTAGATATATAATTAATTACAAAAAAGTTACAAATTTTAGCAGAAATTAGGATTATTTCAACAATTTCATATCACCATGAAATAGGAAATTACAAATCTGTAATAGGAAATTATAAGTTTAAAATAGAACATAACAAATTTAAAATAAGAAATAACAAGTCTGAAATAGGAAATTATAAGTCTGTAATAAGAAATAACAAGTCTAAAATAAGAAATTACAAGTATGCAATTAGAAATAACAAGTCGGAAATAAAAAATTACAAGTAGGGCTGCACAACAAACAGATCGGACCAGACCAGGGTCCAACTTGAAGTTTGATTTGATTTTTGGTCGAGTTAGTTTTGGCAATCTATGGTTTGGTCTAGTCCAGTGGTGACCCAAGATCGAGTTGGACTGGTCCATGTGGTCCAGGTTTCTAATTTTTTTTATTTTATGAAAAGCAAGATTTCAACATGATAAATGCAATTTAAGACAATAAAAAATACCTATAATTATATAAAACCCATCCTAAAATATTAAGACTTCATCATAAATACATAAAAATTTCTAAAAACATTTTAAAAAAATAAAGGTAACATCAAAATTATAAATTGTTGAAAAATGAAAAATTCACCTAGACTGGATCAGACTAGTCCAGGTGGTCTAATCACTTGATCCAAAACTCACTCTAGCTCGACTAACCAGTCTGGTCTAATTTCATTATATAGTTTATTTGGATTGGACTAGATAAAACCAGACCACTTCAGGTTGGATTGGATGGGACCAAACTACTGGATTTTTGCACACCCCTAGTTACAAGTGTGAAATAAGAAATTACGAATATGCAATAGAGAGTTACAAGTTTAAACTAGAAAATAACTAGTTTGAAATAAAAAATTAGAAATTTGCAATAGATAATAACAAGTTTGAAATAAAAAATTATAAATCTAGAATAGAGAATTATAAGTTTAAAATATAAAATTACATATCACCCTCGTTAGACTTTTTGTTTGTTAGATCGTACGGACCCATGGATTCAGGATATATTGTATCGCGTAGTGTAGTCAGAGGGATGTTGCTCATGGAACCAAAAGGTTTAAATAGTGTTAGTATTTACCCCTTGTTAGAAGGAGTCCTCTCTCTTAAGTTATAAGCATTTTGGGTAGATTGCCATTTATTTGGCTGTAATTTCTATATTATTTTTAGAGTTAATATAAATTTTAGTATTTTAAGTTTATCTTCATTTAGTTTTAATCCTTCAAATTTCTTTTCATTTAAAATATTGGTTTTTATAATTCAATAAAAACTTTGACACTTTACCTTTAGAGAGATCAAAACTTATGGTTTAAAATTTGATGGACTAAAATTAACATGAAAGCAACCTTGAGGGTCAAAAATTATGTTTAACCCTTATTTTTATTCCATTTGCCACCTAAAAATTCCCAATATCGTGTCAATGTCCTAAATTGGCAAAGTCAAAGAGATTATGTGGCGATTTGATCTCACATCCACCATACCAACTCACCGCCTCCTTTTTTTTTTAGATTTCTCCATCCGGTATCCCAGGGCAATAGCCATCTTTCAGGCGTGTTAGCGGTCCCAGATTAAACCGGATCGAAAGTTTACAAAGAACCTTTCGGTCGACGCCCTCTAGCCCCTAAGGGTGCTGCATTCCCACGGCTCGAGACCAGTGGTTAAGCTAGGACAGCCCCGGCCAGCTGACCTAACGCTCGGTTTGACTCACCGCCTCCTTTTCCTACGCACAGGTGCATATGGACATATACATATTAACACCGAATCCATTACCCTCCACCTCTTGCTTTAATTTCTTGGCTATGAGAAATAGCTTCACTAAAACTTATTCAGAGTCCAGACTCCAGCCAATTAGAAAGGGGTTTATAATGGGAAAAACAGAAAAATCCGCGCCACCAGAACACGTTGGGTGTTTACATGGAGGAGGACGGAAATCACTCTCATCACTATTACCATTGCACCATCCTACAAAATCTTTACATTTCTTTCCCTGAAAGAAGAAGCCGATTTCAAACTCAGTAAATAATGGGGAAAACTCACAAGTTTTGCTGGCATCGAACGGCTATCATCGCCAACTGAAACGGGAAAAAACTTTGAGATTTATAATATGCTCTTTTGATGGGGCAGATATAATAGCTTTTCCCATAGTTACGGCCTAACCTTAAACCCCATGATCACAGCGACAATAAATCTTCGGAGGTGGGGTCTTTGCATTTGAGATTTTGAGGGTCGATAGGGCAGCCACGTATCCAATAACTTTGTCAGCCGCATCGGAAGCCAAAATCAGTCTGCATTCTTTGAAGAAAGAAAGAGAAGAGGATGAGATGGAAGAAAGAGAAGAATGGCATTTTTGTCTTTTTCTTCTCAACATTTCATAATTCATATTTAAAATCTGGTTTTGATAGTAGTTTTGTGAATTGAAATGCCCAAATTGTAGTTTTATATATTCTAAGGTCTTTTATTGCAAATTTTCCATTTTCTTAAGCCTTTTTTTTTCTGAAAATATGTATTTATATGCCATTTTGCGAACGGAGGTCCAGCCCAAACTACATTCAAGCTTGGGTTCGCGGGACGTCATTACGTGGCTAGCCAGAGTCCACCGGCCGGACTATTAGAAGGAACGGCCCAATATACTTACAAGGCAAAACTCCCTGTTCGTTTCGCTGCATTTGTTCTAGCACTTTCTTCGCCCTGGGACTTCAGCTCTCCTCGTGAACAAATAGAGCAGAGCTTCTCAATCAGTTCTCAGTTCTCATTATCCAATCGCGCTGCCCGTTAGCAGCAATCTACACCTTCTTTTCTTTTCTCGGAGGTTCTTTTTCTTCAACAATGGCGACGGTTATGCAGAAAATCAAAGACATCGAAGATGAGGTTCCTATACTTGGCCTTAATTCCTGCTTGATCCGGTCTCACTCTGAGAGGATTATAGGACTTGCATGTTGTAATATTATTTGTTTGATTGAAAATTTTACGTTATGACTGTCTGTGTTGATTTAGGAACTTCACACTTTTCACTATTTCGCAAGGCCGAGAGAGTGGTTGCTCTATCGCAGTATTTTTCTTTTCTGTTATCCGGTTCTATTTTCATTCGGTTGAGAACTCTTTTTTTTTAAAAAAAAAAAATTATCTCACCCTGTATAAACCTCAGCATATTCTTTCTTTGGTTGCTAGGTAGATTTGAGTTAATTTAAGTTAATCACGAAGGCTTGCCTTTAAAATGTTAAAGCATCAAGTAGGGAATGAACGGTATCATGGTTCTCAGAATAACTGAAGTTGGTTTATTGTATTGTAACTAAAATAACTTAGCTTCTCAAATGTGATATATTTATGAGAGAGATTCATTTCTAGATTCTATATGTACAATTTT